TTCAAGGATACCTCCCAGAGGGAGCCTGTATTTGTGCCTTCCACAACCTAATCTTATGCCTGGAAGTTTTTGGTATTAATTTCCCAAATATTTCTCCTTGCTCTCCAATGGAATATACGCTGTAGCTGAACTGCTGAGCACTGTACAGAACAAGTTGGAATAAATTGCCATGAAGAAGAGCTATTACTCTTCATTAACTTCTGTTATCTTTCTAAGCATTCAAGTCATATTAGTTAGGATAAAGGATAACAAGTCAGCTTTAGACAGTGAGTCAGAGTAAGTCCCTGTTGCATTGTTTTCCTTTTAAAGTGGTAGATATTTTTTAAAGCTGCACTAATAAACTACCAGTACTTGGCAAAACCATCTCCTGGAGAGCACTAAGTCAAGATAAGTGAGTAACTGAAGAGTTACATCCACATATAATGTCACCTCTACATCCTGTCGCCTCAGGAGAGCACAAGCAATTTGCTTTACATAAAATGTATAGATATTCTGCCAAGTGCCAAAGGCCTAGCTGTTCACACTTCTGAGAAAAATCTCCAGAAACTCTTATCCCTACATGTGGATTCCATCATATGGATCCTATATGACCTGCTGGAAAAAGTGGGAGTAAGTGGGTAACCTTTTCTTACAGTGAAAATTAAAGTTTGATTCACGTTATACTTAAGGTTCTGGAGCATCTTTTAAACTAAAATAAAGTAAGAAAACAAGACAGCTAACTTCTGAAGGTTGTCAAATTGTCAGGCTCTCTGTTGTTAAGTCTTTGCATGCTAAACACACTTAGCTACTCACTGAGACAGCAAGAGAATGACACTCTAGTTAGTTAAAGAATTTCCTTCATTCCACCGTGTTCAGTGATTGTTCAAGTGTTCCTCTCTGTAGGGAGAGCTAACGACAGAAGAAAGCTCCTCAAGTCACAAAATGTAAAATAGAGGATTATTTTTATCATAATCCTTAATCTATAGCATGGGTCCTTTCCCTTATAACTGCCCTCTGCACTCATTTTAGCTACCACAGATCACAGAATCACAGAATCACCTGGGTTGGAAGGGACCTCAAGGATCATGTAGTTCCAACCCCCCTGCCTAGCAGGGCCACCAAACGTACACATTCAGATCAGGTTGCCCAGGACCCCGTCCAACCTGGCCTTGAACACGTCCAAGGACGGGGCATCCACAACCTCCCTGGGCAGCCCGTTCCAGGGCCTAACTACTCTCCTTGTGAAGAACTTCCCCCTAACATCCAACCTAAATCTTCCCTCCTTCAACTTGGATCCAGCTATGTTATGCTTTTTGTATTAAAAACTGTAAAGTACTAAAAATTATTTTCTTAGTTGGTGACTCTTACAGCTTAGCATCCCAAATTCCTCTGACAGATAGTTTCTGAAAGATCTGATACAATGGTGCTATCCTATAACTATTAAAAAAAAAAAAGAGATTATGTGCATGAGTGCAGTGAGTATAGCAGCACCCTTCTGAATTTTATCATTAGCAGATACTGTAAATTCAGTGCATTTTTTCTTTGACTTTTCAGAAGTTAAAACCTTTTGGCTGAGCTAACTATCATGACTTTTTTCATTGTTGTCCTATGAGGTTTTTTTTCAGTTCTTACTGATGCTTGTTTTGCTTGGATGTGAATGTTGGGAGAAGTTTCAGTGACTTGGCATTGTTCAAATTACACTCCTACTTTTCTACCTCAACCAAACAATGAGGACATGGACTAGCTTGATCTGAGCACCTTTTATATTTATGTAGTCTAGGATGACTAAGTGATACTTAAAAAACAGACACTGAAAACTAATCTAAATAAAATAATCTGGGGTAATTCTTGTTTCTCTAGTTTTATGTGATCCAGCCTTTGATAATATGAAGAGGACAGCCCTTACATAAACTTCTGCCAAAGGTATTCAGAAAACATTCCAGTGCTCCATCCACACTGCTGACTTTATCAGTCGTTGACATGCAATTTGTGAAGTGTTCCATATTTTTTGCTGTCCAGACTGGCAGAGAGGGGTTTAGGAAAGCCAAGGTACAGGATAACCAAACTTGGCAAGGGATGTTAAAAATAACAATAGGGGATTCTATAGATACATTGGCCAGAAGAAGCAGACCAAAGAGAGCTTATCTCATTTAGTAAATGAGAAAGGAGAACTGGCTGTGACAGACATGGAGAAGGCTGAAGTACTAAATGATTTTTTTGCTTCTGCCTTCACTGAAATCCTGGATTCTTGTATTTCTCATGTCCCTGAAGCTCTCATCCCTGGGCCTCTAGGTTGGAAATGAGGGAGTAAATCCCCCCACTGTAGCAGCAGAATAAGTCTGAGGCCGTCTCATGAGACTGAATATACACAAGTCTACTGGGCCAGATGGCACGCAACCAGAGTCCTAAAGGAGCTGGCTGATGTGGTTGTTGAACTGCTCTCCATCATACTTGAAAAGGATCCAGATGATCTTCTAGGCTACAAGCACACACTGCTGGCTCAAATTCAGCTTCTCATCCACAAGGACCCTCAAGTCCTTCTCCACAGGGCTGCTCTCAAGGGGTTCTTCATCCAGTCTGTAAAAACACCTGGGATTGCCCCAGCCCACTGGGAAACCGCCCTCAAGTCCAAGGGAGCTGAGCAGAAAACCAGCCATATCCTGGGCTATATAAAAATATATGTGGCCAGCAGGTCAAGGGAGGTGATCCTGCCTCTCTGCTCTGTGCTGGTAAGACCTCACCCAGAGTACTGCATCCAGATGTGGAGTCCTCCATATAGGAGAGACATGAACCTCTTGAAGTACATCCCAAGAAAGGATGCAAAAATGATGCAAAGGATGGAACACCTTCCCTATGAGGACAAGCTGAGAGAGCTAGAGATCTTCAGCCTGCACAAGAGAGGGCCCCAAGGAGATGGCCTTTCAGTGTTTATTGCAGGGCTATAAGAAAGTAAATTGCTGTTACTGAATTGGATAGTACATCTTTTCCTGCTTTCTTCCTAGTGCTGTCCAATGCAAGAAAAGTTACTGCACACACACCCCCACCCCCAAATCACCTAAATCACACAGGCAAGGCTTATAATGAAGCGTATTAGGTTTGGCTAAACCAGGCGCATACAACCCGCACCTTTCCGGATGCTTGCGGCTCAGCTCAGCTCTCACTGCGGACCGCGCCCCCTGCTGCCACATCGTCACGGCAGCAGCTCTGCGGCGGCAAGCGGCCCGGCCCGACTTCGAGACGTGGGGAGCGGAGGGCAGTGCCGAAAAATATTATGGCACTGTGCTTAATTGGCAAGGAAATCGCGTCAGTTTTCATAGATTACAATTCGAGAAAATATTATATTTAGAAACATGAACCGGAAAAACATCTCGGCTCAACAAAGTCTTCTTTAAAAAAATCAAACCTCAAATAGACTCTGTTATAAAAACTAGTTAGGTGACAGCAAATCTGATTGCAAAAACAAATAAACCAAAAAACAAACAAACAAACAAACAAAAACCCACTATTTCCTTATGGTGAATTTGTTAAACAATGTATTGGAAAGTACAACAGGTGTAATGTGTCCTGATAAAAACAAAACAAAAACAAACAGATTTTTCTAGAATCAGTTTGTCTAGCCAGAGTATAAGTCAGGCACACTGAGAAAAAACAGGAAAATCTATTGAAAAAAAGAATTGGAGACTAAAGCTGCTAATTCCAAATTTTATGCTTTGGTGACAGATGATTTCATCTCTAGATAGATGCTACAGATATGGCTCAACTTGCCATTTTCATTAGAGATATTGATAATGAATATAGTGTCATTGAAGAAATGGTTTCTTTGGTGCCACTGAAGAACATAACTGAATCTCTTGAATTGTATGAAGCAGTAAAAAAGTAAAGTAAAACAATTTCCTTTAACCTTTGTCAATGTATCTGGTATAGCTACTGATGGTGCTGTGGTAATGATTGGTAAAAAAAGAGAGATTTATAAAATCAATAGGAGATGATGCAGTTAGCACTGGTAGCTCTTGTTTGATGAAATATCACTGCATCTGACATCAGGAAAATTTATGTCCAAAAGCTTTAACAATGGATAATGTCATGCAAATAGTCATCGCAGCTGCGAATTTCACGAAGTCAAAGGAATGGAATCATCACCAACTCTAAGCGTTCCTTATAAGTTTGAATTCTGATTTGGGGGTCATCATTTACTTTTCTGAAGGAAGGTGGTTAAGTCAGTATAAAATGCTAGAAAAAAAAAACTATGCAAAGTGACATCAAGTCCTTTATGAAACCAAAAGGAAAATTTGTGCCAGAATGTGAAGGTTAAAAATAGCTTACAGATTTAGAATTTTTGGTGGATTTGACTGCTCATTTAAATGAATTAAACAAGAATCTTCAAGGTAAAAATCACCTTATCTGTGTTATATTTCAGACTATAACAGTGTTTGAAATTAAATAATGGCAAAGTCAAGTTATGGCAAACAATTTCATGCATTGGCTGAACACAGTCCTGCAAACAGTGAAAAATACATAGCTGTGCTTTCTGCTTTGGCAAAGAAATTTCAGAATAGGTTTTAAGATTTCAAAAATAGTCTTTTTTTTTTTTTAATATTTGGAACTCCATTTTCAGTCAACATAAACACATACTTGTAATTTTACACATGGAATGTACAGAGTTGCAATCAGACATTCAACTCAACGAAAATTTGGTCATATTTCTTTACCAGACTTTCATAATCTCTGTCTTACCAGAAAAAAATATACCCCTTGCTTCACAGTCACACCTTATTCATGTCATCATATTTGGCAGTATATACATTTGAGAAGAATTATTGTCAAGAATGAAGAATGGGAAGAGCAATAGTTCTTCAAAAATCTCTGACAAACACCTTAAGAACTCACTAGATATGGCAAGCACTGCCATCAAACCAGCCTGAAGCATTAGTTTCACAAAAACAAGGTCAAATATCCCACTAGTTTCATGGTTTTTTCCTCCCTGTTCATATATTTTAATAAAAATGACATTAAAAAATAAGTTTTGTTACTTATATACATTAAGTTTATTATATATTTTATATGTGGCCCAGGCAAGTCAAAAGGTTGGACAACCATGGACTAAATCAAAGAAAGCTGTAATAATCCAGCCCATGCTGAAGGACACAAACCCTATCGCAGGTCTGGACTTGCAGAAAACTGCATTCAGCAAGTCAGTGTTTGGCACCCTGTGATATACTTCAGTGATATAATTCAACTGGCAGATTTATACTCACATTGTTATGGATACGCTATGTCCTTTCACCAGTGTGGGATAGTCAGGACAAAGGTCATTTCTGGTTACCGTAGACAGTGAGGGGCAGTAGCCACATTGTGTGGCTGTCCGCTGTACTCATTCATTAAATGAAGAAAACATGACAGGAAATCTCTTGTAGTTCACCCCTGCCTCATCTTAAGTTCCCTGTGGCTCTCATTTTTCTCTCTCCAAACACAAATTCACTGTTCCTCCCTAAAACATTCTCAAAAGACTTCCTGTGTTGCATCTCTGTTTTCTTCTACACTATCACGCTTTGGCAATAAAGTTTCCATCACAGAAGCCAAAGCCTCGATACTTTGTGTCGCAAGATGTCACTGGTGTCAAGATGTCAATGGTTGGCCTATGAATGGTGTGAGTTTTTATTTAATGAAAAATCGTATAGCACCCACACAACAAAGAGTGATGACTGAGAAAAACAGTATTACCAATCAGAACATTTTATTTCAAGGAACAGTAAAATATGAGATATTAAACTGGAGATGATCTTTGTAGTTGGAAGCAAAAACTGTGTAAAAGTTGTCTTCCTATGACCAGAAATTTAACATCTGCAAGAAATACTCCCCAAGTTCAATCACAGAAAAACGTGGAAATCAATGTCATTTCTTGAGTCTTTCCACAGGATGAATAGAAAAAGCAAAAAACAAACAAACAAAAAAAAAAAACAAAACAAAACAAAACAAAAAAAAACCCACAAAAAACAGCAGCAGCAGATTTTTCCCCAAATGTTAGGTTTCTTAAGAGGAATCTGTAGCCAAGAATGCATGTTTCAGGAGTTTTCTTCTACATAAAGCTGCCACTGAAATTATGGCATATATTTCCAAAAAGGTGGATGGCTGCACAGACCCTCTCCTATTAGGAAACCCACATTATTTAGAGTTTATGATCCACACTGATCCAAAGGTTTTTTGCTTTTGGTTTTGGTTTTTTTGGTGCCTGGGTCAGTATAAGTCAATTTAAAAGACTGAAAGTTGGGATTTGCTTATTCCTTATTCCTCTACATGCTTTCCATTGCCCTCATCAGAAATAACCAAGTCTCTTATCTTCTTCCTCTACAAATGTTTGCCTGATATCTTCTATCCCATTACTTCTGGCACATATCTGATTTCAGTTGGAAGGTGGGGAGCAAGGTGTTTTATATTCTGCAAAGGCATATTCATCTGGAAAGAAAAAAAGAGATCTGACAGTTGTATTAAAGTAAGAAATCATTCTGACCCCAGTCCATGTGTACCATGCTGAATCAGAAAACATTTGATAGATTTTGTGGTGTTTTTCCAGTTTCAAGGTGCTCACTTGCAGGTTTACATGGTCAGTGCATAATGCACTCCTCTGACAATGTTTGTTAAGATGCATCATTGTTGTGACCACATGAAATATAGATAAGGTGGCTGAATAGGCATTCGGGAAGAATTCTCTGGATATTACTGCTATTCTGCTGAGAAGTTATACCAATGTTCAGAAAAGCTTATGGAACTCAAAGCACAGTTTTGATAACAAATCTGTCACAGTTGGTAATGTCTGATGCATTTATAGTTCCTTGAGGCTGGACATAGAAAGGAGGTCATTTCATATTCTAGGTGCTTAAACTCCTGCTGAGTTCAATAGAATTGTCATTCCTACTTAAGCTATAAAATCCAGAATAGTTCTTTGACCACAGCCTATTATGGCAATGTTAAAAATATGAGACAAGCTATTTTGGGGAAGTTGGGAACACTGCTGCCTTTGTGTTATTATCATGTCCAGGCTGGGGAAAGTGGAACCACACTTCTTTCTATATGTAGTTTACTAGAAAGCAAATCATGACACACCACTTTCTTATCTGCTTTATGCCTAAATGAAGCAAGAAATGAAAAGATGGGGGACAGCTTCTTTCTATCCTTCTGCAAACTCCTTGCAGTCCAGCAACATAAAGCAGAAAAATTGCTAGTTTGCTCTCTAACAAAGAGGAATAAAAGCTGCAAATGCAGAAACATAAACAGACGCTTGCACAGAAGCAGTGAAGGAAAATCCACTGTCCTCACCTAGGAAATGCTGAAATAAATACCTCGATTTCACAGGTTTTTAAAGTCTATAGAGGTCACCTACCTGTTTCGTAGTAATCATAAATATGTACTGGTGCTGGCTTGATATCTGACACAGGCAGACTTTGTTCTACACTGAAGGAGAAGTTGACTTCTTTCTGGGAGAGCTGGAAATGGCAAGACAAAAAGATGCAGACTTTTCATGTCTGTTCCCACGCGTAAGGTTCAGTTGCGTTTTTGTGTCAGAGTGGGTGACAAAGTGCCATTCTACAGCCCTCTCAAGATTGTGAACTTCATGTCAAATCAAATAACTGTTTAAATGCTGTTACTAAATAAGTTTTGTTGCAAAACTTCTTTGCTCTTTTCTTTTTCATATTCCTAATCTGCTTCTGATGACATTTTTTGCTATTTGGGAGCCTATTTTAAACTTCCAGTTTAACAAAACCAAAGAAAATACCTCCAAACCTACCTTTTGAAGGTAGAAGAAGATGTGGTCATTCTTGATGTCTACATGATCCACAACAGAAGGTTGGTATTGAAGCTATAAATAAAACAAATTATATCAATTTCAGCATAGGTAACTTGCCAAGGAGGAGTATTAATTGATTAATAATTAATAATAAATAAAAAATGATTACAAAAATTCTGAGGAAAATATGTCTGAAGTGGCTGCCATTCTCCAGTTGTGCCACCACGACACTTTGTGACCAAAATAAAAAAAACCAAAAAGTTGACTTTTCACAAGATGGCAAGTACAATTAAATCACCAGTGAAAAAAAAATATATCCTGATTTACTAGTCAGATTTGGTATGTATTTCTCTTATTATCAACTTGAGAGTTGTCTCATTTCAGTAAAAATTTAGGATTGCATGATCATTTCTACAGGTCAAAATGACTCATTTTTCAGTGCATTACGTAATTTAAAAAACCCCAAATTTAAAATTTGTAGAAAACAGTATGATAAAAATTATTTTACTATGAAAATGCATGAAAATAAAATGTTCCAAATATTAAAACCATTCATTTTTCCCATGTGGATGCAAAGGGTAGGGTGTGAAACAGTATAACATCTCAGTGCAAAAAATCTTACAAAGAATTTCTTACAGTTCCAGAGGCAGGGGAGGAATTCAAACCTGAATAATCATTGGTTTTAAATGCACCAATGCACCACACTATGAGAAAATTGTACAATAAATTGCATTCTTATTTTTATCAACTTCGTGGGGTAAGTTTCATGACTTGAAGATGATATATCTGTTATAAAGCCTAAATCACTCCAGAACGTAAAATTCAGTTATCAACAATATTCTCTGCACTGTTACCAACATCGTGACCAAACTTACAGATGAAGGAGGAGGAATACCTGCTTCTTTTCTACCCTTTAAACTGTGTGTATAGGAACAAATAAACAAATCAAAGAGCTAAACTTGTAAAATGCTCATTTACTCAACTACAGCAGAAGTTCTTCATATCTGGATTCTATTGGGCTGTGTGATTAAATAATCATATCCACAAACACAAAGGAGTGCAAAGGAATGGAGAAAAGAGTGAGCAGCCCCACCATGCAGGAGTGAGGCATACTAGAGGAATCAATAACAGAAAATTGCTGGATCACCTTGCAGACTAAGAAGAGAATGCTGCAGGGGCATGGGACTGAGTATGGGGTACTGGAGGTTGAGAAAGAATTATTATGGAATGTTCAGGGAAAGAAGTAACGAAGGAAGGGATGAAGTTAGACTGGGAGGAATAAGTATGGGGAAATAGAAGGAAAATAGGACAAAAGAGGCCAGTTGCATTTAAACAGGTACACTTGTCTGACAGCATCTTCTCTAAGATCACTGCAATCTGTCCTGCATTCTTATTAAACTCAAACTTTTTTCCTTGGTGAGGGACTTTCTGTTCTCTGTGTATGCCCAGACTACTAGATGCTGAAGAAGGGAACACGAATCAAAGAGGAATATACGCATGGGGTTCCAGTAGTCCAGAGTGCATGTAAAGGGTGTGCAGGTGTGTAAATGAGTGTGAGATTGCTGGTGGATATAAAGATGGAGTAGTGTGAGAGTACACTATGTGGCTTGGCAGCCCAATATGGAAGCAGGCGTAAGTATGAGCCAATGCTGAAGAAAACAGGATTTGACCTATGAGGATTTCTGAACCTGTCACTGGAGAAACCAGTAGGTTCTTGAGATCCACATATTGGTCAGACCAGTCACCTGGACTAGCTAGCAGAGAAACCAATCTCTGTGTGCTTGTATGTGTGTATGTCTTAGTAAAACAACTGGGAAAATGGGATCCAAACCCCTCCGAATCAGTATGTCTAAGGCCAATTGATGGAGTTATCCACTATACATATGTGTAGGTGCACAGGGCCTCAAGGGTGCATATATATATAAATGCAGGTGTCAACATAAGGCAATTTGTGTCAGACCAAGAGTTCAAGGGCAGCTATTGGTCAGACTGAACTGGAGCCAGCTACTAGAGAGAACCACATTGCATTTATGCATGTGTAGAAAATATATTTTCCATGGATGATCTTTCATCTTGATCAGACAGAAAGGGGAAGATGGTAAGTTCATCTGGGCTAAATATGTTTGTATAAATGCTCTTTTCTGTCTCAGCTGATCTGTATGATCAGCTGCGTATATGAATACAGTTGTATATGTCTGTTGTGTCCATGTGTACCTACTGGAAATACATCTTTAGCCTTAGTATTGGCTGGACATGGCAACAACATTTTCACCTCTTTCAGGCTACTGGACTTGGCAGCTCCTAACAGACTTGTTTTCATTCGATGAGCAGCTGCAAGTCTGACACAGAGGTTGACAGAAGACAGAGGCTTTTTGTAGAAGTCCCATGGGACCACAACTTACTGATCAGACATATTTTTATCAGTTTCCTATATTTCTAGGGTTTACTATTCATTTTGCTCTCATTCTTTACCTTTTTCAGGGAAGTTCTATCGGGATTAAATCCTGAGAGCATCTTCACATCAATAATAGCCATGTTAGAGACATTACGATTTCCTGTGTAACTGAAATGAGAAAAGTTCTGTTAATCTGCAGTTGGAGAGGAGACCACTGAAAGACATCTTCAGCTCCAACTCATAGACAACTCAGATAATCTTTTTATTGGATCGTCCTGGTGTCCCAGTGATGTATAGCATATAGGAAAAATTTAGCAATGAAGGACAGAAGTGTTTCAGGATATTGTCCTGTTTGTCTTCCTGCGCAGTAGCACTTAACTGTCTATACTTAAATCCTTCCTGAGATGCTTCACCAAACTGAAATGCAAAAGGGTAGATCAGTAAAAGGAAGTTACCTGGCAGAGAAGACAAGGTCAAACTTTGGTGGGAAGTTGCTTGTGCAGGACACATTGGCTGACTCTACAGAGAGAAAAAATCCTGCAGCTTTCTTTGGTAAATGGATGTTGTATCTCAGGGTTGTCTAAAAGAGAGGAAAAGTGTGAGATGGTCACAGATTCTAGTGGCTTTGCCATGAGGTACAGAAGGGAATGAGGCAGAGATGACTCCTGCTTAGTCCTCAGTAGGATGGTGGTGAGTTTCCAGCTTATTTACCTGCATATAGACACAGCCAGTGCCATACACTTCCACACTGTAATTCCCTGGAACAATGGGTAGAGAAGTTTGCTGCAGTAAGAAGCGGTTCTTGTCATTCACCTGGAAAGCCGTCTTGGGGATTTCCATGAAGTTGACCTTAACTGTATTATGACTTTCCTTAGTGAAGGTGAGGTATCCATACTGGGCTAAAGCTTGGAGGGCAACAACAGTGTCCTGAAAAGAAAAAATATTATCCTTAATTAGGTAGATATCCAGCTGTGAAATAGTACATGAGATTAGCAAAGCTGCTATCTTCCTTTGTCAGTGCACATAAATGCTGGAGGAATTTGTAAAGAGACAAGGAGAGAGGCTACAAGTTCTGGAGCAACGGGCATGAATTATCCCAGGATTAATGCTCTATCAACAGTTACTTTTGTCTTCTGCTAACTTGAAAATCAGATGAATTGCTATTTTCTAATATACATATACATATATATATATATAATACTAAAAATGTATATTTATATGTATATATTTATATGTATGTATATATTTTTATACACACACACACACATATATATTAATGGAGCTGCCAAGAAAGAGCTCAATGTGCTCTAACAAGACTTATGTAGGCACCACTTATGAAATACTGTTCAACTGAATGTACAGTGAGGAAGAAATGTCATCCACCTTGCAGGCTGCACTATTCCCGAAAGGTATTCTCTTTACCACACCCAGTTGTCACCTGGCTGGAGGAGAAACCCCCATATGGGTTCTGTTGTTTCACAAGCCAGTACACAATGCGAGAGATATATGATAAGTCATCTGATGTGAGTTCAGCTTTGTTGAGCATAGCCAGAAGCACATAGCTGGTCATTTCAATCTCAGCAGAAGGAGCACGGGAATAGAAAGCATGGAAATGTTCTGTTGGTGGCTTATTTTCTCTCTGCCAGTAAACTGAACCACCTGAAAAAAGGACAACAATAAAAACAAACAAACAAAAAAACCCAACAATGCAAAAAGCGTTAAAAAAAAATACTTGCTAGTTAATTCACTACACATGGGAGACAGGCATACAATTCCCACCCTTCCTTTATCTAAAAGGGTTTTTTAGCTTGTGATGTTCTAAGCTGTATGAGTGTCAGTTTCAAGGAGGAAAAGAAAACAGAAAGGAAATTAATAAAAGGGAGCAGTACAAGTAAAAATGGGGGATGCCCCGTCCTAGAGGTTTTGAAGGCCAGGCAGGATGGAGCCCTGGGCAGCCTGTTCTATTACCAGATCTGGAGGTTGGTGATCTTGCCTGTGGCAGGGGTAATGGAACCTGATGATCCCTGGGGTCTCTTCCAACCTAAGCTATTCTATGATTCTATGACATGAAAGCAGTGCAGCAGAAGGATGCCAAAATGGTAATGAGCTGGAGTATATGACACAGTAAAATTAACTAATTGAGCATGTAGAAGAGAAGGCTAATGGGAAAACTAGATGCAGTCTTCCATAATGTTGGACTGGGGAGGCTTCCTGAGGTCTTTTCCCATCTAGATTATTTAACTATTCTAAGAACATCAGTCCACAGCTCAATCCATAGTGAGGCCAAAAGACAGAGAGAGAAGTTCATAGAAATAAATTCTGACATGAAATGGGAGGGGAACAGCATGAGAGAGAAATAGGTACGTGAGAATAACTTACACCAGGCCATCAGCTTTATTGTTTGCACCATGGCCATATTGCACTCACCTTTTTTTGTAGCTCTTTCGTCCAGCTTTTCAAGAAAGTATTGGTACCTTTCCTGTTTGTCAGCTAAGCCATAAACGTAGGCAAAGAGGGCATGGTTATACAGGTTGTGGACCCCATTGCTAAATGCAGTCTCCAAACAGTTCATGCCATTCCAAACCACAGGATGCTAGGACAAAATACAGTAGAGTCATCAGGTACTCCGGTTCGTGTCTCAGCTTCCCTTTAAAGACCTTCATCACTTCTCAAGCTACCATATGATTCTTTACTCTAAAATATACATAATCAGTTCTACATCTAGGGGCCTACAATGTATCTCTTTTAAAATATGATATTGCAGCAGTGCTAGTTTGTTTCTACTTTCATTTGGAGAACTAACAGAGTATTGTTCCTTCTCCTGACTTGTGAGATGATCTTTTGCAAGAGAACCCTTCGACATTTGATTGCTTCATCTAGAAAGTGGGATCAGTTTTACAGAGTTCTGTAAAGTGTACTGTAAAGTCATAATGAAGCAAGCTCTCTCATATGGGTGCAAATTACTCATTTGCAAGCTATAGCTATCAAGATAACTCTTCAACCTTTTATCCCTACAGATTATCTTTGTGAGCCCTGGTTCAGCTTAGGTATATCACCAGCACACTAATAACCATAGTAGCAGTTGTCTATGCAGTCTCACTTATAGAGGTTGGCACCAGGCTTTGGAGCTTCTTATAAAAGATATTGGGAACTAAGCCCTCAAAGGAGCAGAACTATTCAGTGCTGCACAATGTGTTTGTCTTGTCTACCTTAAGTACATAAATTGTGTCCCATCCCACAGTATCTGAGGCCCTTGTAAAACTCAGCATGCTTAGAACACTTTTGTAAGAATGCGAACAATTATAATCATCCCTGTTTTACAGAAGAACAAAGAATCGGGTCAAGGTCTCAAAGATATTCAAGAAGTACATTACAGAGAACAAAACTCAGTTCTCACTCTCCCACACCTAGTAAGTATTCCAACCAGTAGCTCATAATTTCCTTTCATTTTTAACAATGACACACAACATGGATCTAAATGTACAGAGATGATCTGTAGAACTGGAGATTTGGATATCTTGGATTTGGGACTGGGCAAATCCAGAGTGAATTTCAGAATGAACTCTGAATGGGGTAGGTAAACCCAGTATGGATGATGCATGCATATAGACTACTACTGTTTATCACAACTGGATTCCTCAGGGATTCTATGCGATCAGATGAATCCATACAAATTGAACAAATAACCATGCTTATGGCAACTGCAGGGTTCTGGAAACAGATTCCTGAGCTGACCATACTGCACAAGAATTTAAGACATTAAAAATAAATTCATGTGAGTACAAAGACTTGTTCATTGCTTGACGTGCGGCTGACCAAACTGAAAAAAAAGGACAACTGCATCAACTACCTACCTGAACAGAGTGTCCAGCCTCCAGCAATGCTGCCACAATGTATGCTGTAAGTGAGTATTCACCTTCTTCACCACCCTGAAGAAAAAAGCCACAAGCAAAAAAAAAAAAAAAGTCAGTACATGTGTCCTAGAAAACAAAAAGATGGGATTTTAATGATAGTTTACATAATAGTTAGAACAGACATCAGAATCAATTTCTGTCTCCCTGTGTGCACAAGAAAAAGAGAGTTCAGTCAGGATAAAGCCAAAAGCGTGCTTTTTCTTGGCTTTACACATGTAATAAAGCATATAATATCTTGTATAGCCTGCAGTTAAATGCAGTGGTGGAAAAAAAAACCTGAGGTGTCTAACTTAGAAAATTCTATTTGTTTCTACCTCATCATCAATGGGAGGCAATACTCATGCCCTGCTTTTATAACAGACATCAGAGAATGGGAGAGTTATGGGTCTGGTGATTAGCCTGTGTCTAGCTGAAATTATCCAAATCGATACCAATGGCAGGACTGGAAGTTTGAAAGTATACTGAACTCAATTACCTTCAAAGCATTGTTGAAGTGTGACTCAGCATTTTCAAAGCAGCCATCTGCCTTCTGCTTTCTTGCCAGCCAGATCAGAGTTTGAGACTGGACGTTTTCATCAATGTAGATGTACCGTCTTGCTTGTGCAAATGACTTGTATACAAAGGCAGTGAGCCTACAGGTTAACCAGAATCAGAAAGCACATAAAGTGTGAACAAGATTAAGAGAAGGTATACCAGTAACTGGATACGAATAGAAATGGACATAGAATGAAATCCATAATGCCTGTGGTAAAAGAAACAAGTGTTTTGTACATTTTAAATAAATAGTTTAAATTCTGGTATTACAAACTGACCTGAGATTTCTCCATTACTGCACTGAAACCTTTCTTTCAGAGCTGGAGTAAAGCATAGACACAGCTTGATGATTGATGGTAGTAATTTCTTACTTTAACCAACACTATTATAAAATAAACTGGGTAGGAAGGGACTTCTAGAAGTCTCCAGTTCCATCACCTGCTTAAACTAGGATCAGCATCAAAGCTCAGTCAGATTGCTCAGTGTCTTGCCCTGCTGCATGGCAAAAATCTGCAGAAACTGAATTTTCTACACCCTCTCTGGGCACCTGCTTAAATGCTACACCCTTCTTCTAGGCAAGATTTGTTTTAATTCTATCCAGCTTTCCTTGCTGCAGTTTGCATACAGAAAAATTGTTTTCCTTACTCTGTGCACCTCTGACAAGAGTTTGACTGTCTTTTCTACAGCCCTGATCTAAGTGGTAGAAGGCTGGTATCCATTAGCCTCCCATTCTATGGGATGAACAAATTCAATTCTTTCAGTCTCTCCTTGAGCATTATGTGCTCCAGACCCTGATCATCTTATTGTCATTCTGTTGCAACATCTCCAGTTTTACTCACATCTCTCTTAGTGGGAGATCCAAATTAACTGAACTATGTCCATTTAGTCCATTAAAAATAAGAATCACCAGAAACGTTTCAAAGCCTAAAGATTCTGAACTAGGGAAATAGAAAGTGTCATCATTTACCACACATTTCCTTCCTTGTCTCGTGTCCCAAAGGAGCTGTAGGAGCCATCCTGGTGTTTGTACGACAGCTGTTTCTGGTATCCTGAAAATACAATAAAGATGTTTTCTTATCAGAGATAAGAACTAGTTATGGTCGTTATTCAACAGAAGCACACTGTGTTTTAACACTAAGATTCTAGCCACTTATGCTCCTGACAGTACTAAATGCTTCTTTGGCTTGCTGCCATCACAGGCTTCTGTGCAATATATAGAATCACAGACTTGAGGTGAAAGGGACACTTAAATAACATCTAGTCCAATGCCCCTGCAGGAAACAGGACAGGTTGCTCAGAGCCGCATTCAGCCTAACCTTGAATGCTTCCAAAGACAGGACATCCACCATCTTTCTGGGCAACCTGTTCCAGTGGCTCACTACTGTTATTGTAAAAAAAAACAAAACAAAACAAAACAAAACAAAACAAAACAAAACAAAAAAACCCTTTTCCTTATATCAAATCTAAACCTCTCTTCTAGTTTGAAACCATTTCCCTTGAAGGCTCCCAAGAATCTGCCCTTTTCTTTCTTATATCTCCTTTAGATAATGAAAGGCTTCTGTCTAGTCTCCCTGAAGCCTTCTCTTTGGCTGATGCCCAGCTTGCAATCCATGAGAAACCCAAAGTCCTTTTCAGCAGTGCTATGCTTCATCCCCCAGCTTCCATTAATAGTGAAGGTTGTAGTAACCCAGTTTCAATGCTTTGCACTTGAATCTGTTGAATCTCATTAAGTTCTCCTGAGCCCACTGCTCAAGCATGTCTAGGTCTCTCTGGATGGCATCCCATTTCCCATTCATATCAATTGTACCACACAGGTTTGGTGTCACTGGCAAACTTGTTGATGGTGCTCTCAATCCCACTATCAATATACTTGATGAAGATACTCAAGTGCATTATTCCCAGTACAGATTCCTGAGGGACACCACTTGTCACCGATCTCTATCCAGACATTGATTCATTGACTACTATCCTCTGGGTGCGATCTTGCAGCTGGTTCCTCATCCATTGAATGGTCAGTCCATCCCACCCACATCTCTCCGATTTGGAGAGCAGGACTTTATGGGAAGACTGTGACAAAGGCCGTACTGAAGGCCCAATAGATAACATAAGCAGCTCTTCCTTTTTCCACTGATATAGTCCATCACAGAAGACCACTAAGTTGGTCAATGAGGATTTGTTCTTGGTGAAGTCATGCTAGTTTTCTTGCATCACTTCCCTCTCTTCCACGTGCTTTAGCATAGCTCCCAAGAGGATCTTCCCTGGTACAGAAGTCAGTAGTTTCCTGGGTCAACCTTTCTGAAAAATGGATGTTTTTTGTTTTTGTTTTTGTTTTGTTTTGTTTTTTAAGAAAAAAAAAGCTATCAGGCACTTCACTTGACCACCATCATTCTTCAAATATCATGGAGAGAGGCCTGGCAACTATATCAGCAAATTCCCTCAGGACTCTGGGACACATCTCACTGGATCCATAAATATATGGGTGTTCAGGTTTCTTCTGTGTTATGAACCTGATTTTCACTTACAGCAGGAGGGGCATTGCTCTCCAAGTCCTCACCTTTTGACTCATCTACGCAAGGGTTGTACGAAAACCTATCATTAGTGGAGAATGAGGAAAATTGTCGATTGCCTCAACTTTCTCCCTGTTCGTTGTTACTAAGCTGTCCTGTATTGGATTGTCCTGTATCTCTTGGACTTTCCTTTTCTCGTTGATGTAGCTGTAAAAACCATTCTTGCATCAGTGTACAGGCATATCAGCTGGGCAGCCAGTCTTGTCAATTTCTTTGAGGATAACTCCTTAATTCCTTTTAATTACCTACCTCGAGTCTTCCTCTTGCTTTCATCACCACAAGGTCTCAAGCGTGCAGCAGGTTGACAGCCCCCACTAGCACCCAGTTCCTCTAACCTAACTATGCTGTCCCACAGCTTATCATGGGCAGGCTCACTATAGCCCCCCTCCCCCTAACAATGAGCCCTGACAGCTTTTTGCCAAGAACCATCTTCCCCCTTTGAGAAAGGATAATCCTATCTAGCTCCTGCAAGCCTGGTGCCATATAGGCCGCTCCACTTTCAAAAAACCCAAAGTTCTAGCAGAGGCAGTCACAAAGCCAGCTGTTTATCAATAGGATCTTTCATTTTCTTTTTTGTTACCCAGAACAGAAGATTATCTGTGCCATCAGTTCCTTCAACTGATGTTCCAAAGCCCTGAAGTCCCTTTTGATGGCCTTTGAATTGCATGTAGCGTTTCATCACTTTCCAAGTGGAAAAGCAGTGATGTTGGCCATACCAGGCTAGGTAATTATCTCATTATATCCTTCACCTGAGCCCCATAGAGACTTCTCTAAGATGACTTCTCTAAGAAGGAGATATGCTTAGAGTATTGGGCATTCAGTTCTCTGCAGGCAAGAGCTCTCTATAACTAATAACCTCCTTTTCTTCTTTGAAGACGTAGCCTTGATAATGGTGGAAGGCTTTTTTTGTTTTGATTTTATTTATTCCTCCAGTGTAAATGGGCTGTTAACACCCAAAGACAGGCATTCTGTATCCAGAACCTTGTACTGTTATACAGAAGCACTTGGGGGTTTAGAGTGAATGAGTTCTGCAGTTCTGAGAACAGATTTTCTTCCAGCTTTTCTTTCCTTTCCTTTCCTTTCTTTGAGTTCAGCCTCAGAGTGATAGGATACAGTCTTCTTTGGATCTTCTGCCTTCTTCCGTGGTAGACCTGTTTTTGCAAGGGCAATGTAGTTCCTCTGCTCAGTCCTCTTGGTCCCCATGACACTTCTAAACTTATATATTTCATCTCATAACCTCTCCACTATGCTGAACAAATTATCCACCCATTCACACCTCACACAGCTGCTCTCACGGCTGCCAAAGGATGTCAGAGAAAGGCTCAGGCACTCCGTGCAGCTGGAGGCCTGGATGACCGTATGCTTGCCTTAGAGATCAAGCTGAGTTTTGGCATCTTTCCTCGCTTTCCATCGGGTGGATACCTTGACTAGGGTCTCTATTCTCTGGGGACGTTAATCCCATACTCCAATCACAGGATAGCCCTGTACCTAGAAGGCAATAATCCCCTTTTGAATCTACCTCTCTAGCCCAAGGGTGCTGGCTCTGTCTATTTGCTCTTCCTGAGCAAACTGCCTTGCACAGTGCCGCAACATTCCCTACTGCCACACCATACCCTATCTGCCTGCTCCTAGTCACTAGTGCTCCTAGGGGCTGCCTTTGTACATGTGGGCAGATTCCGCCGTCTCTCCTGGCTCCACCCATGCTGTATTATAGCTGCCTCTCCCCAGAGGCTCTAGGGTTCTTGAGTTAGCGGTTTTCACTGTGGTTTTGCCTCGCTGGCAAAGGCCTCTGGCACGAGCCTACGCTCTGAAACCAGTTTCTATAGGAAGTCTTTGAGGTTGTCTTGACTTTTATAGTGCTGCTGTTCCTCCTGGTTCTGTCTGCGTTGTCTCAGAGCTGCCTCTTGTTACAGCCACTACACTTCTGATTTTGCAGTTTTAAACGTCATTTTGCTGGGAGAGGACCTTTGTGCAACTCTCTGCTCTGGAGCTGATCTCCTCAAAGTCTAGCACATGTGGTGCTAGAATTCAGAGATCTGCGTTCACCAATTAGAGCTCCAAAGTTTAAGCACAATACTAGATGAAAGAATGTGAAAGGCTGTCACCTGTGGTTAAATATCCAGTACTCTTGACTCTAATCTCTTCAGTCAGCTGCCCAGTCTTATTCAGATAATCCAGGACATAGATGTTGGGTGTGAACAAGGCCATGTTCTGTTCTCCACAGCCATAAGGCATATGGAGGAGGTTTTCCATGTTCCTTAAGGCTGTACCCAAAATGTCTCCTGAGAATTAAAGATACGAGTGGTTAGGTCAAGCTTATTTTTTATTACACAGCTTTATACATTGCTTTATGTTACATTACTCCATTGCCTTTGAGTCCATAATAATCACAGCAGTCAAAGAATATTATGATTTTTGATTTTGATGCTGGGCACCTGAGAAACTGTAAATTTAAGAAGGAACCGAGCACTGATACTGACTGGAATGATTTCTGAGAATCAGCTATCAACCCTTCTGAGTTAGTATTCCCTAGCTTTTCCAGCATGCTTCCTTTTTGGTGTGCATATGTGAAAATGACAGTTGATCATATGTTGCTGATGGGCTACATATGCTGTATTCCACAGTACCAGTACATTCCACACTGTCTCTGGCACGGAAAACAACTGTTTTTAGAAAGCAGTCTGCATTCAGAATCTCATAAACTTTTCATTAAGAAGAACTTTTATTCTTAATGAGTTTAAGATTAGTAGGTCAGATTGGGATATGAAAGTCTCATTCTACAGATATTTGTGAACAGACAAATGTTTTTCATTATGCAAAAGCATAATTTGAATTATGCAGTCAGCATATTTTTGAAGTCTTCTATCGAAGAAATCAAAACAATGTGAATTTTTTTTCAAGAAGTCTGCTTTTGCTTACTTTTCAGTTTTACTGCACAGAACAGGATAGCTAACGCAATATTATCTGAAATGAAATATAAATGGAAATAACTTTACTGTTTTGTTCTATCCTTTTTTGATACAATAGGAGAGAATTTTGACAAAGAAAGATGGTTGTTCATTTCAGAAAGTAGGAAATATTTGTTTAAAATCAAGATGAAGATTCACCTCAAATTTATTTTAGTTTTGCATAGGTATACATGATAGCACTGGAAGCCACACAGGAGGAAAAAAATACTTCACTTTCAGTTGTAGTCTAGGTGTTACACTTACCAATGACAGAAAAATAAACTCTGGCTGATCCCTGCACTACATTTGTTGGCAGGTTGAGAAGCACTGGTTCAGAAACTGTTGTGCCTAACAAGAAAACATAACAGTAATTGTTGAAAATATCATTTTTCTGGAAGTTTTTACTTTCTAAGCATGACTACAGTTAGAATTACTATTTGCTGTTTTGATAATGAAACTGCTGAAGAGTCCATGCCCAATGAGTCTGAGGTATTTTTGAAAATCCTGAGCTGTAGCCCATCTCATCTCCTCAACCCTGAGACCATTCTTCCTCCTCTGGAAGGGTCTCTGATTTCATAGGACCAAAACAACAAAGCAGTGAATTCTTTCTACTGATTTCCTGGATTCAATGAATAAACTTGCCTTACCTTTTGTACAGATGAGGGAGCTCTGAGTCAATTCTTTTTTAACACCTTCAGGCTGTTTGATTGCAGACAGGTCAGAGAGAATTAAAAAAAAAAAAACATCACCATGAAACCAGAAACAATTAAATAGTGTAAGGTATTACATACACGTAGCTATCCAGAGGGTGCATCCCCCTGTACCCAGTTCTGCCTTATCTCCATTAGAATATCTCATCGTCCATGTCTTACTCTCATTATTACATCACAGCCTGTGCAGAGCACTATCTTTCTTAGAAAGCATATATAAAATAGGCATTTCCAGCCTCTGAGGAGGACTTGGGGAGAATTGTGTCTCTTCTACTCTAGGATGCTCAAGACAAATCTCATTCCTTTCATATCTGCCCTCCTCTCCCCAGTATTACAATCACAGGCAAAATGCACATGTAGATAAGGAATGGAATCTCTTCCCCTCTGCATGGTTCCTTCTTCACAATGACATCCAGAGAGTTTAGGGCATTTATGCTCTTTGTTCTAGAAAGAACAGTGGATGCCAAATTGTTCTGAATTCCACTCTCAGCTTCATATGGAGAAATCTACTGTACACATCTCCATCTGTGTCAGCTTTCTTGTCTCTTAACATCAGCTAATATCTTCCAGATCATAGGTAAGAGAACTGAATTTCCAAAAAAACAGGGAGTACATGAAAATCCTGTATTGTACCTCAACTAGTAGCATTTGAGTCAGGGTGTCCGTGCGAATTGTCTCCTCTTCTGCTATTGTGCTATTTTTGGCAGCTTTAGTATTCAGTTTGGCTTCAGCAGTAATTGTGAATTTCACCTCGCCTGGAGAGCCAACCACCAGTTCAAGAAAAGAAAGTTATTTTCTGTGTCTATAGTTACCTCTGGCTTTCATTGCCTCCTTCTAGTCTTGTGGTCTGTTGACAAATGTATCTCTCTAAAGGCAGCTTAGTAGAAACAAATTTAGTTAAAGCTCCACATCTCTCCAAGGATGGCAAGGAACAGTTGCCTAGAGGCTCAGCACCACACAGTCATTAGCTCACTCCTCCCCTTCCCAGTGGGATGGGGGAGAGAATCAAAAGAACAAAGCAGAACTCATGGGTTGAGATAAAACTATTTACTAAGATAGAGAAAAGGAGAAGGAAAATAGTTAGGACTATATATATACACACACTATACAATATATTCTATACCCTATATATAACATGTTATATACATATATATACACACGTATATGTATGTATATAACAAATGGTGTACAAGCAGTTTCTCACCAATATCTGGCGGATGCCCAGCTAGTCCCCTGAGCAGTGGGAGAAAAGATCATCACCCATCACCTTCACTGCTCCTTCTGCATGATGTCATATGCCATGGAATACCCCTTTGGCCAATTTAAGTCAGCTATTTCCTCCCAGCTCCTTGAGCCCTTCACTATAAGTGGCTTTGGCTCTATACAATACTGCTTAGCAGGCAACTATAAACAATGGTGTGTTATCACATTGTTTTTCTCCTAGAACCAAAACATAGCATCATGCCAGACACTACGAAGAAAACAATTCCTTCCCAGCTGAAACTATGACAGGGTCCAGTACAAGGAATGAAATACTGATGAATGCCAAACAACTGACAGTACTCACTAACAGTTTCTACCTCTTCTTGACCTTTTGTTATCTCTCTCTGGCCTAGGGGCAGTGTTGCAATATTTGCAATACATGCAATACAGCATGCGCCGCTGCCTCTTTCCTTCAGACAGAATTCATTAACTGAAGGCAATGCTTAAGAGCAGCCTCAGTGCTGCTGCAACACACCAGAACAACTCTGGAGTGAGCAGCTTGACAGGCACTGCTCATTTTACCCCTGAAGTCGTTGCAAATAGGAGATCCAAAGGAGTTTTCCTTTTGGGACAAAATGTTAGAGAGACCACAGCTTTATTTTTTTCAGCTTTGTAGCACTATTTCACTGCTTATCCTCTTCTTGTCTTACTATAAATTTTCCACTGAGTTTGAAGGAAATCAGTCACACTGATTTAGAAACATTTTAAAGAAAAGGTTTATCTGTTGCTCATGTTCAGAAGAATTTTTGCTAAAGTTTTTTTATACTTCAATTTTTAATGTACTAGCACATGCAAGCTGCTGTAAATGCTTCTTTTGAAGACAATGCTGACTCAAAGATAGTGTAAATTAACACAACTGGGTTAAACTAGGGAGGAGCAATGTCCTCTTCACTCATTCATTCTTACTGAATAGAATTGATTCGATAATAAGATTGTCAACTGAATTATTACAGCCTCATGAAGTCCTGACGGTATTCCAAGCATGACAAGGCAAGTGAACAATTCTTCCTAAAATAGACAAGAGATAAACTACTGAAATTAGAAGAGATAAAACACCAGAACAAATAGCTACTTATTCAGTGCATATATCCATGCATAGGGGAGCTTTAGCGAAAGTCCAATACTAGATTTACGTAGTGGAGTTGTCCAGAAATGCCTGCCTGTGGATTATTGATCCTTCATTAACAAGTGAAATGACAAAAGTTGAAAGATAAAATTGAGATGAATTAGGGTGATCAAAAGACAGAATTACCAAGACTGAGGAGCCTAGCAGCCCAAATATAAGTTTTTCTTTCATTGGCACACACCCTTGCTGTGTTTACTTCTGGTGAAAGGACTTCCACCTTGTAGTCACTTGACTCTGCCAGTATGGCACTGATCTGAGATGCAGAGAGAAAGAGAAAAATTACAAACGAAGTAGGCTGCCCCTGAATTTATGCTTCAGGGCACAGGAAAATGTCACTTGCTGGTGAAACCATGTCATCTGATTCTGTAAGATAGTACCTGGAAATAAGAAAGGGACGTTTGTTTGAGGAAATAGCAAACCTATCTAATTTGTACCTGCTGTTACTAGCTGCATACAGAAGCATGCCAAGACGTCTGTGCTCATTTTATCAGTCACATTTTCTTATGATTTTCTGCTATATGCTTCATACTCGGTACATATTATTTGGGAGAGCAAAATACCCACATTCTCTGTTCAAATTTCTCTCTCAGGAGCAAAAATAACTGAACTATTTAGTGATAAGAAGCAGGTTCTTATCTTCTTTGTACCAGTCATAGTGATCATTGGCCACACTATCCTAATGATGCAGCAATGGATCCTGTCAGAGAGGCTGAGAGAGTACTGTGTCAGCAGAGTACTTGTTTCTGCATTTTTAATGCAATATGCAGGACAGAAAAACAATTCTGGGAACTCTGGGGAAGAGGCAAACCGGACAGAAATTGAAAGGGAATTTGATGTACCTGGATGCACTTGTCAAGGTAGTTGAAGATGTTGGCTATTAAATTAATTCTTTCCCCTCGAATGACGGAGTATGGCAAGGCAAGATCCACAAAGAATGGCTGAAATGCTGTCAGTGAAACAGGTGAGGAGATGCCAAACCCAGCATCATCCTGCAAACAGAAAGCACTGGCTTTCCATTCTGTGATAGTATCAGGGATGGTGTAGCAGATATTAGCTTCTCCAGTAGAACTGAGGAAAACAAGAAAATCTGAATGAGAAATGATATTTGGAATTGTCAGAGCAACTTACAGAATAGGCCCATAACAGAGTTAATACTTCAGACTTCTCATCTCAGTTTCTTTAGGATTCTCCTCCATATTTAAAAGAAATTATGAAATTGGAGGTAAAGATGAAGGTGTTGATGAATTATGTGTTAAAAAGCACTTGGAAAAATACTTGACTTTTTAAATTTAGAAATAACATTTGTTTAAATGCCACAATGTCCAAGCATGCAGATCAGAACCAATATATTTGGATTAATGTTCTATCCTCCAGCATTCATCTCAGCAACAACTCAAATATCCACATAAGAGATAAGAAGCGAAGGTGAAAATACTCACTTTGTGTGAACCAGGTCCCAAATCCAGGTCTCAGGAAAGTATTTCCTAACAGTGTGAACAGCACCAGCAGCAGTAATCTTTGAAAGTTCTAGGGAAGATTATGAGAACAAAGAAAAAAAATGTACTATCTGTTCTCTCTTCCCATAGGAAAATATTTGAGAATCTAGGCATTTCACAATACAATTCAGCTTTTCCTCCAGTGAAAGACACATCACCTAATTAGTAAGGGATTTTAGTTTCTCCTCTATCACTACATCTCTACAATTTGCAAATGGGCTAACAGTATATATTGCTTTAAAAATTCCCCCTTATAACTCAATAATTTTACCCTGTCCAGATAAATAAACTGGAACTGAATTTTCATTCCGTTGGAAAGCCAAACAACAGGACTGTATGGAAACTTCTGAATCATGGCTTGAACCTCTGATTGATCACCTGAGGTAAGCAATGAGTCAGCCCTAGAAGTGCAGGTGAAGGCAATTCACCTGTGCTGCCAGAAGGGGTGGAGCCTGGCTCCATCTCTCCTAGACCCCATTTAAGAGCTGACTACTCGTGGGGAAGGATCTCCTTTGGGAGTTTTCCAGTGAGCCCAGGAGAAGGGTAGGCTCTTTACCTATTTGTTTTGGTATAACAACCTGTTTAGCCAGGCTCTCTTGTATATTTCTTAATTATAACACCTGTGTATTCATTACACAGACCAAGACTAGGAACCTAGGACTTAGTTCTATGATTTCATGGCCTCAGTTGTGGTGTCAAACAATCAATTCAGAGTGCCACAGATTTCCTCAGGCTTGTTTGCTGTATCATAGTAATGACCATACAAATATCTGTGAACTCTAGTTATTTTGTTGATTAAAATCTAACTTGGAGGATTGTTTTCTTAAATCTTGCTGATTTATAAATGCTTTCAAGATTATGTGTGAAGTATGTTAGGTGCTGTGTGAGTTCTTAATATAATTAATTTGCATAATATTTCCACATTAGTATTTCACTTAAAATGTATGATTGAATTGTGAGTTGTGCAAGGGGGAAACACTAAAAAACTAATATCAGTTTAGGAAAGTAATTCTCTTTTCCACATGCATCCTCCTATACCTAAGAGGGAGAGAACTGATTGTAATTCTGTGAGTACTGTCAGCAAAAGATTACTAGAGACAAAATGTGAGACAGAGATCTGTTCCCTAAAGCCTTAACATGCTGTCCATTATTTTCTATATGCGCAAGTTTTGAAGACCAGGCATACTGGAAATGGAGACACAGCATGAATCTTCTGTTTTGGGACAAGTGCTTTTCAACATCTTCATCAATGATGAGCTTGAGTGCACCCTCAGCAAGTTTGCTGATGACACCAAGCTGAGTGACGTGATTGACACACTAGAAGGGAGGGATGACATCAAGAAGGACCTCAACAAACTCAAAAGTTGGGCCCACATGAGCCTTGTTAAGTTCAACATAGTAAATGCAAGATTTTGCACTTTGGTCGAAGTAATCACAGATACCTATACAAGCTAGGAGGACTCCTTGAAAGTAGCTTGTGGGTAAGGACCTGGGGGTCCTGGTGAATGAATAACTGAATGTTGTGCCAGCAACGTGCTCTTGCAGCTTGGAAGGCCAATAGTATCCTGGACTCCATCAGAAGAGGGGTGGCCAGCAGGGACAGGGAGGTGATTGCCTACTCTGCCCTCATGAGGCCCATCTGGAGTACTGTGTCCAGGTCTGGAACCCCCACTGCAGAAAAGATGTGGAGCTATTGAAGAAGGTCCAGACGAGGGCCACAAAGATGATCAGAGGTCTGGAGGGTTGGTGGCCCTGCCTGTCTGTGGGAAATTTGATGATCCCTGAGGTCCCTTCCAACCCAAGGCATTCTACGATTTTCTGATTCTTTTACCTTTGCCAAAGGCACTGCCACCACTAGCACTATGATCCAAATAGATAGGATTATCTTCCTGATCCAACTTGTCTTCATTGCACAGAACTGGCTTCCGTAGCATGGAGTTGGTGAAGACCTTCAGGCCCATCTCCTGCATGTAAAAGAATTGATCATGTCACTTGGTGCATGCAGTAGCTACAAATACATGCCACATCTCCTATCTGAGTTAACATCATTCATTTCTCTCCTCACTTCTCACATTCCAGCCTTTCAACTCTGAATGTCATGTTATTCTTCTGCTACAGGCACATGCTGTATTGCATGTATTGCAGGTAGTGACAACTGTTGTTTTGTCACAAGTAGTACTGGTGGTGCTCATGTCAGGTCTTTTGCAACTGGGCAGAGTAAGTTACAAACTCATAGGATGAGTGAGAGTGGAGAAAAGTGTATCAGGAAAGTGTGCATAATATACTCAGAGCTTTACTAGGAATGCCTGAGGTTGTGAACAAAGTTAATGGTCCTGTTTAAGAATCATCTACTGAAGTATGGACTGGATTCCAATGAACATATCAAGTAGTGATTCTCACTCTTCCTGAGTAAGAGGTGGATATCAGATGGTAGAAATTGGATGACTCAAGAGCGAAGGCAGTCGAGGGATCAAAACCACCTTAGTAAGCTGAATGCTAGTGTGAATGAATTCTTCTGGAACATTTGAGGGGGGGGAAAAAAAAAAAAAAAAAAACCAAAAAAAAAGCCAGAACACATACCATGAAAATCCTGTAGACATCACCATCATGGCTGACATTGACAGGTTCATAGTACAAGCCTTCAAAAAAAGTGGTTTTGACTGGGGTACATTCCTCTGGCTGGTCATCTTGCAGGTTGAGTCCATCATAATAATAGCCATACAAATCACTCAAATGAAGCCGGTAGTACACCTGGGAGGTGAGAACAACTGATGTAAAAACAAGGAAATGTCCCAGGCTGGTGCAAAATTCTGTCACACCATGAAAATCTTTCATGGCTGTAGAGTGAAAAAGGAGAAAGTTCACTGAAAACCGGTCTGTTTGCAGTGCAGCTCCTTCTGTCATCCTCATTGCGCAGCACATATCCACTCTCCTGCTTCAAGACAAAACTGCCTCTCTTAAAGCAGGATATCAGCTTATTTATTTTTTTTTTTCAGAAGCACTACATATGCATAGTGTATGTATATATATGATTTTAATCACAAGGATTTGTTTCTTCCCATGCTCCTTTCTCATTTGTATTCAGTAGTTATGGTGGCATGTGAACAGTCCCATGTAGTATTATGGGTTTAGCTAGCAATGCCTACACAGATGAATAAGCAATTTGGCTGATGTTATGCAAGAAGGTCTAGACTCTATCCCTCTTTTTATGAGTTGTGATGGCTTTTGTAGGGTGAACTTGAACAAAGAGCATGAAGAGACACTGCTGAGTTTTGCAGAGAGAAGATTTGAGTCCGACAAGTTGCTAGCTGATATTTGCAGCTTTTTTTTCTGTGTCTAAGGCCTGTTTGAGCCACTCTCAGGTACTGTCAAAGTTTTACATTAGTCATACTCTGTTTAACACTGCTATGCTTTCTAAAAGTAAATATTTCACCATCATCTTTGAAGTATACAGCTAATATTTCTTTTTTTAAATCATGGAAATGTCTGTTTACATAGAAAAAAAAAAAAAATACATAGCCAGCAGAAGAGATATTAGGTGGGCATAGGAATTGTCATTCTGGATGTCCCTAGATTAAAAGAACACAGGGCTGGGCATGTGGCTTACACTCTCAGCAGATAGCTCTCGCTCAGGCTGAAGAAGGAAGACACTCTGATCTACAGCTCGCAAGGCACAATAGGAGTTGGCAGCAGCTTCAAGGCGGATGTTGATTTTAGAGCCTGGGAGAGCCTGCTTCTCGGAGAACTCAAACTGGAGCTGGAAATGAATAAATTGAAAACAATAAAATAGAAATTAGGAGAATTAGCTTGACAAGTATATCTAAATCTCACCTTTCACTGACATTAATACCGTTCTCTGTTGGGCAAAGTTCCTGTTGCCTAACAGTCCTTCTGAATCTCTGTTCTGCAAAAATTCATAGCCACATAATCCCCAAATCATTTCCTGACAGCTTAGCGTGAGTTTGAGTATATGTGTGAATGCCAGGGACAGATTCTTGTGTTATCAGGCATGCCTGTATTGTTTTCATTCCTAAACACCAACCTGAGTGCAGTTTTTGTGATGAAGTAATTTCCTGCCTTTTCACTCACAAAAAAAAAAAAAAAAAAAAAAAAAAAAAAAAAAAAGAAAGAAAACTAGCAAGGACGTTGAGGTGCTAGAGCAGGTCCAAAGAAGGGCAGCAACATATGTGAAGGGCTTGGAGAATATGCCCTACGAGGAGAAACTGGAGGAACTGGGGCTGCTTAGTCTGGGGAAAGAGACCGCACTGCTCTCTTCCAATGCCCGAAAGGTGCTTACAGTAAGAGCGGGGTTGATCTCTTCTCACTGATGACAGGACAAGGGGAAATGGTCTGAAGTTGCTTGAGGGTAAGTTTAGGTTGGATATCAGGAAAAACTTACTTACAGAAAGGGTTGTTAAGCACTGGAATAGGCTCCCCAGGGAGATGATTGAGTCACCGTCCCTAAATGTGTTTAAAAACCATTTGGATGTGGTGCTCAGGGACACAATTTAGTGGAGGATCATAAGAGTTAGGGTAGTATGGTTAGGTCATGGTTGGACTCGATGATCTTTAAGGTCTTTTCCAACCTGAGAGATTCTACAATTCTATGATTCTAGCAAATATAGCCCTTGATAAGAAAACAAAAGTTTCACCTTGTTTTTGAAGCATATATCACTGTGTATCCAAGAGCTGTCAGCCACTATCTCTCCATTAGGATGAACCGTATAGAGCAACAATCTGGCACTGGGGGTGAGCTTCTCAGTGACAGTCAGTGTAATGGCAAAAGTACCCCAGGGAGCTGGGAAGGTACATGGAACAGGAGAGGAAAAGCCAACAAAAGAGATTAGATAAGCCTTGGCGTTGGTGGAAGGACAACATATTTGTTCATAACCTATCTGCACCATTAAAAAAGGGATGCTGGCTACTGGGAGATTAATTTCTCAGTGGCTCAGGAAAAATTCCCATCAACAACGTACCAGATGCCAACTAGACAATGCTGAGAGCAGGGTGTTTTGCAGAGAGGGAGCTAAGCTGAGCAGAATTTGGATAGGAAAATCTGTATGTGATTGCTACAGGAAGAGCAATGCTTTGCCTTTGTAGCTCAAACCTTGTTCCTTCTACACCAGATTAAATAAACCAATTACCTAAGCTAAGGCAGTGTTCTCTTAACATCAGGAATTATGAAGTTCCTGTTAATACAGATGGCAACTACTAGAGCAGAGACAGGAAACTAAGCTTTATCTTTTTTTGTAAAGTCACATTCTAACACGCATCTTGCTTTTGGTTAGTCACAGATATATGGAGAGACCACATAGCCTCAAGATATTTTTTTAATGAAGGGAGAATTTTATGACAAGGCTGCCTTTTGATGAATAGATGTCCCTCTGTAAACTGTACGCAAGCACATGCTGTGCAGCCATAGTGCACAGATACCCGGAGAAAGACAGAAGATGGCCAATACTAAATAAGTCATAGGAGTAAGTAGGAGTGAGACTTACTTAAGTCTCTTACTGAACACCTGGTTCTGCAAGAAAGTACATTTTTTTAATGAAAAAATGGAATTCAGTTTGCTGAATCATTCATGGTATTTGGAATCTTCTGAAGCTTTGATGAATTCTAAGCATCTAATTGTTGTGTCAAATGAGGCACTTATTATTTTGAAATTTTTGGTCTTCTGATTGGTGAAGACTCGGATGTCACAGAACATCTGAAACCTTAAATACTCTTTGAAATAAATAAAAAATAATACAAAAAATGATTACATTCCTCCTGTTCAGTCGCAACAAGGTTTTCACCTCTCAACTCAAAAGACGATTTTGATTATTGTTAGGAGCAGCATTAAAAGCAAATAATAATGTGAGTGGTGAAAGATGTTTAAGAATTAATACCTATTTAGCAACAGTTCCCTGCTTTTGTCTCATCTTATATGAGCTACTACTGTTCTGGTGATAGGAATGATGCTCTGAAGAAACAGTATTGATACAGTCCAGAACTTACCATGAGTGATTCTCACTTGCTTTTGTCCGCTGAGAACAATTTTTCCCTTTGCCATCACCTAGGAATAGAAAAAATCACAAGATAGAATCAAAAGCACCTTCTCCCACAAAATCACTGGTATTGAGTGGTATTCTGACGGGCTTGAATCAAGCTGTGATTTGTAGCCACTGGCTGATCTGAACACTTCTGCCTTATTTAGCGTTCAAGAAAAGGTGGAAGAAAATATATGTTTTGGAAACTGACGTAATAATACGTACCACATAGTAGAAGTCTGTGTGGGTGGCATTTTTGTAGCCCTTTCTACCCAGGACATACTGAATATTAATCATTCTCTGCTGGCCACAGCTTAGTTTCTCCTTCACTGGCTCAATTCTCACAAAGCTGTTGGTCCGTGAGTAGAAACGATGAACAAAGAATAAGGCTTGGGACTCATGATCATTTCTCCACATAAAGAAATCTGCACAGTCATCTGGTGCTTGTGTGGCCTATGATACAGGAGAAGTATATACAAGGAATCAACAAAGTGGAAATTAAAAGACCAGCAGGTAAGTGAGAGGCAAAAGCATCTTCCCTCTAAAATACTTTGCTGGAAAACAAATTTTTTGAGGCTGGTGTGAAAAACTTGTATTTCAGTTGTCCACAGTGTGGGGATTGCGGGACACAATATATTCACGTTCAGATGACACCGAGCTGGGTGAAAGTATCCATCTGCCTGGGAGTAGCAAGGTCCTACAGAGGGATCTGGATAAGCTGGACCACTAGGCTGAGGCAAATGAGATGAACTTCAATAAGATGGAGTGCCAGCTTTTGCACTTTGGCCATAATAACTCTAAGCAACACTACAAGCTTGGGATAGAGTGGCTGGAAAACTGCGTAGAGGAAACTACCTGGGGATGTTGGTGAACACTCAGCTGAAGATGAGTCATTAGCGTGCCCAGGTGGCCAAGAGAGCCAATGACATCCTGGCTGGTATCAGAAATAATGTTGCCAGCAGGAGTAAGGAAGTGATCATCCCTCTACACTCAGCACTGGAGAGGACACAACTTGAGTACTGTGTTCAGTTTTCGGCCCCTCACTATAAGAAAGACACTGAGGGTCTGGAGCATGTCCAGGAAAGGGCAATGAAGCTGGCATGGGATCTGAAGCACAAATCTTCTGGGGAGTGGCTGAGGGAGCTAAGATTGTTTAGTCTGGAGAACTCTCTACAACTATCTGAAAGGAGGTTGTAGTGAGGTGGGGGTCAGCCTCTTCCCTCAGGTAACTAACAGTAGGACTAGAGGGAATGGCCTCAAAGTTTTACCAGGGGAGATTCAGGATGGACATTAGGAAAAGCTTCTCCAAAAGAGTGGTCAGGCACTGGGACAGGCTGCCAGACAGGTGGTGGAGTCACTGTCTCTGGAGTTCAAGGAATGCTTAGATGTTGTATTAAGAGACATGGTTTAACGAGGAAATAGTGGTGGTAGTGGATGGTCGGACTGGATGATCTTGGATGTCTTTTGCCACCTTGGTGTTTGATGATTCTATGATCTATGTCACAGTATATTAGGGAGGTTATTTTAGATTCTTATTAGTTTGAGACAGGTTGTTAAAACTTAATGTGATTTGGAACTGCCTTGTTCTCAAACAGCCTGCTTTTTCTCATCTATTCCCATAGCACCAGAGAAAACACATGATAACTTGGGGAAGACCATGTCATGATAATGGACATGAGTGTCAGCAGAAATGTAGGGAAGCAGGCTGGCATGCACCCAGGCTGGGTCAGGAAAGCAAGCAGGCTTTGAGAAAGGTTCTCTAGTTCATGAAATTAAAAGAAGGAAGATGACTGCAGAAAAGGCTACAGAGCTGAGAAAAAAAAATAGAGTGGTGCTGAAGATCACACTTGAGGTACATCTTCTGCTTCTCAGGCATTAGAGTTTTCTCGTAATAGTTTCACAGAGGTTGTATGTGTTGCTGAGCTAATTGCCTGTTTTTCTCATCCAAAATAAACCTGTCAGCATCCACTGCTTGCTTCTGATTCTTCTTTCTGCTGAAGAAATTTTTCAGGAATTAGACTAGAGCTTATACTTACTCTCAGTTTAACACTGGGATTAAAGAAGTTGGATGTGTCAAGGGAAAAGGCTGCCGTGCCATTCTCATCAGTGGTATAGTTGGCCTGGTATTCTCCATTGACCTCTAGCACAACAACCCTATTGGCAACAGGCTTGCCATCTGCATTTGTCACAGTGATCTAAACAGAAAGAATACACAGGAGTTTCAGGTTAAAAAACAAACAAACAAACAAACAAAAAAAAACACCCAAAATGAAAAGGATGATAAATGTTCTGCTCACCAGAGAACAGTAACTTAACCACTATGGACATCTGCAGAGAGAGTAGAACTCAAGAGTGAAATGCATGGATATTTAAGAGGCAAATGTGTAACACAGGGCTCGGTAACACCTCCTGTCTTTTGAGATCCAGACACTACCTTCCTTCTGCACTCTGAATCAGGAGAATGCTGTAAATTTCATTTTTCCTTCTGTGCCAGGGTTTATATTGGGTGTACAGGTTGGGAAGAATTTGGATGTGTTCCAGCAGTTACACTGTTTTAAGTACACATCCACAGGACGATGTGATACCATGTAGGGTAAATTCTACCTTCAGCTTAGGCACTGCTGTTGTGAGCATAGTTTTTTGCATACCTGTCTCACCATTGTGGCCTTTCACTTACTAATTTCTCAGTCATTCTCTAATCACTGCTAAAAAGACTCCCTTACACAGTAGGAATTAGGGTATCATTTTCTGATTTGCTCTAGAAGCTTCTAACAGTGACAGATGTATGAAGCAGTCATGTTCGTGTGACATTGATGAAAGCTGTTAGTACAGGGTAAGGGACGGCTACAAAAAGGGCAATATAGAGATCCTGCTGGACCTCAAGTTCTGCTCTACTGTATATTCTCAGCTACTCACCTCACCAAAGTAAGGAATTCCCCTCCTGTAGTACTGATCCATGTTCCTGAACATCACTCTGTCATTTTCTTGGCTGACTGCAACATAGTCGTAGTTTTTCATCTGGATACCTGTGAGACACACCCAGAAGAAAGGGAAGGAAGCAGAAATCAAAAATGTGCAGAGAACAGTCTCTTTTGAAAAGCTGTATGGAGATGTGATTTTCTGTACAGAGAGCTACACAGATAAAATGGTAGTTGTTCATTATTTGATGAAAACATCAGAATCCAGGAGATTCCTCCGAAGAGGTATCACCTGTGAGATTTAGGGTACTTCCAGTTTAGCTACTTCCCAGTTTTCACTTAGTATTACCTGTCCCATTTTCAGTGATGATGGTTTCTATGTTTAAGCTGGCATACATCCTGGTATAGCTGCGGTACAACTGAAAAGTTTTGGTGGAGACAACAGTGCTGAGACAACCATTGTTTTCCAGCTGAAAAAGGAGCAAAAAGAGGAATACTTGTTTTTCTCAAGATTTGGAAAAACAAATACAAGCTCCTAAGCTTGTATTAGTGGGTCTCTGAAGAGCTTCATGCCTCTGCTTGCATTTCCTTTAGTTTTTATCACCTACTTGCTCTCCTCTTCTATTAAACATCTTACTCTTTGGCTCCTTTCCCAGTTCATTGTTGGAAAACTCATACACCCACACACAAGAAATCCTTTCTCCTCCCTTCCCTCTGTACTCACATCCCTTCTTAAGCACGTTTTGCATGATGAATGAGCTCTCTGATAGGAGCTTAGTTCTTTAAAATACTTTGAATCTGATCTAGATGAGAAATCAAATATCAATTTAACACTATCCTCAAAGACTCCCAATAGAGGCCAGCTGATTATCCTTGGCAAGTACACACATCCAGTGTTTCAGGAATGATCACGTATTCATAGTTTTATAAGCTCTCCTCTCTCCTGCTGGCTCTTCTGAGATAGAACTCAGATTTCTTATGAAAAATAATTTCTCTTCTCCTGCTTTCTTGAGGAGAAGGGGCAAAAACCATTCTTCTAATGAGGTCACTGATAAAAACTACATTCATGTTCTTTCAGAATTGTCTGTGAAACAGTGAGAAAAATATGCCTCTGGGATTATCTGTCTCATCTTCTCCAGGAAACAAATGTGTTCTCCAAACTTTGCGCTATGTGTTCAGTGGTAAAGTTCACTGGGAAGAAGGGCATAGCCCTGTATCATACCAATCCAGTGACAGCTTCACAGGTTGGTTTCTGGCTTTGCTGACATCGTGGATTATAAAAGTGTTGCTGACACACATTGATTCGGGCAATCCCTTGCACTGGTTGGCCGTAAGTGTACCTAGTAGAGGATGAGACATAAGAATCCAATAATTACCAACTGTAAAAGGGAACTTAGCATGAAACCAGGAAAGATTGCAAAGCGGTGCAGACTCTAAACCCCTTAGGATCCAAGAGTACAAACAGAAAAGTAGCTGGGAATTAGAACATGTTAGTCCTACCTGAATTCTCCTCAATTATTTTTAGGCAGACTTTGACTTTAAAAAACCTACCTTACCATTGTCTTGGTTGACTCATTCTTTAAGGTCTGAAGCTGGACAGGGATGTTGGGCTTATGTTTGGGATATCATTTCCTTCTGCTTGATTTTTTTTTTTTCTTATTATTGCCTTACATGAAGCAAGATGTATGGCAGTCCTTGTTTCTCAGGCTTACGCTACCCTGCCCCTTGGCAGTGTCACACAGAAATCTTAATGATAGTCCTCTACTATTTCTCGCCTTCTCTGTAATAATAAAATCAACAGCTAGCAAGTTTATACCACTTAATACCTTCAGACTGTTAAGACACACAAACTCACAAAATTCTAATTCTGCTATGAAGCAGAGTTATCATTATTTTTCATGTCATGGAAGTCATAGCTAAATAAATTGCTCTAGTCTATACACTAATCAGTAGTGGCTCCCTATTTCACAGCATTTCACACTATCCTCTTTCCTGTGTTTCTTGTTTACACGTTATTCTCAGCTCTTATACTTACAAGGCACAAACATTCACCCTGATTTCTTCATCAAAGAAAGAGATCCTCCTGGGCATGCTAGTTGTCACTTCAAACTTTGGCAGAACTGTGAATACAAGGTGAATATGACTGATCAGCAGTAGTATACCATGGACAGGTGCATAAGAGGAAAACAGTAAAAAAAAAAATTAAAAAGAATTGGAGATTTCAAAGCACTTAAGCTCTGCACTCATAGCTCGTATCAGACTTAGACAGAGCCAGCCTTTGGGGAAGTTCACAGTGCTTGCTTACCATATTCCTCCACTGTGAAGTATTCATGCTCCTTATCCCCTGACTTCTTCTCCACAATGATATGATAGGACCCTAGAATTGGCTCCTCGATTAATGGGAATGAAAGCTGGATAATGCCATGCATAGATGATACATCCAACCACTGGAAGATCTGATTTTGCTCTGGGTCCTGGGGAGTGGGAGAAAGAGAAGTGTCAAAACTTTTCTCACCCTTTTTCTTGGCTTATTTTAAATTTTCTGTCCTGGTGTACTGGTTTAATGTTTTACTGAATGAATGTGAGTCTGAGCGGATGGCATGCGTGATATGACTTACCATTAGTTTTCCAGATCTCTTTGTGCCTTAAACAGTCCCAAGTCTATGTTTACCTGAAAATTATCTACACTGCCAGATGATCTCAGATCATCCATGAATAGTATCTGATTATGATTCAGGTTGCTTATCTGAAACTCTTCTAGTACGAGTATTTTTGATTCAGTTCTTCCTTATGTCAAATGGGAACATTATGCTGGCCCCCCTTGAAATGAAATGCTGAACACCGACTTAATGTTTGCCTTGCTTCTAGCAGAAGATGACATTTTCAGAAAGAGACTCTTTTTTGCCTATATGCAGATGACTCTATTTAATATTTGAATTTGCTGCAGTCCTACCAACACAAGTACTAAACACCCATGTTTGAATCCTAACAAAAGAAACAACTTTTTGCCATCTCCAACTAACACCTCCAGTTCTGCTGACTCCTCCTGCTCTTTGTCTTTAGATTATGTGCTCTGGATGAGTCTTTGTCGGATAATGACACTCAGAGGAGCTATGTCTAAACATGCCAGCACCTGCATGTACACTTTGCTGTGGCACAACGGGGAAAGTGTTGTGAAAACAAATGGAAGAGATTATGTAAAGACAGGGTTGTAAAGACAGAAGGGTCTGGATTTGAAGCTGCAAATTAAGTATGTAAGCAAATAATAAAGAAATCATAAACCAAAAATTCTGTTTGATTCTGTGGTTTGTCTAATTGTTAAAATTATTTGAGAAGTAACCTGTGCAGCAGGGCATATTTATTTTCTATCCAGGTTAACACAGTGAATGGGACAATGTTTTTTCTACCACTATGCTTTACAACTACATTTTCCATCACAGAATCATACCATAGAATCATAGAATGGCATGGGTTGAAAAGGACCTCAAAGATCATCTAGTTTCAACCTCCTGCCACAAGCAGGGTTGCCAACCATCAGACCAGGCTGCCCAGAGCCACATCCAGCCTGGCCTTGAATGCCTTCAGCTATGGGGCATCCACAACCTCCTTGGGCAACCCATTCCAGTGCTTCACCATCCTCTGAGTCAAAAACTTCCTCCTAATATCTAACCAAATCTCCTCTGTTTTCGTTTAAAACCATTCCCCCATGTCCTATCACTATCAACCCATGTAAACTGTCATTCTCTCTCCTGCTAATGAGCTCCCTTCAAGTACTGAAAGGCCACAATGAAGTCTTCTCTAAGCTAAACAAACCAAGTTCCCTCAACTCTTCTTCATAGGAGAGATGCTCCAGCCTTCTGATCGTCTCAGTTCTCCTCCTCCGGACTCGTTCCAAGAGCTCTGTGTTTTTCTTGTGCTGGGGGCTCCAGGCCTGGACACAGTACTGCAGATGGAGCCTCACAAGAGCTGAGTAGAAGAGGACAATCACCTCCCTCTCCCTGCTGGCCACCCCTTTTTTCATGCAGCCCAGGATATAGTTGGCCTTACCAGCTGCAATTGCACACTGCTGGCTCATGTCCAGCTTCTTGTTCACCAGGACCCACAAGTCCTTCTTCACAGGGCTGCTCAAAAGATGCTAAGTCATGCTGGAATATATCAGTGTTAAGTTCCAGAAACTCTGGAATAAAATGTTCCGTGTCAAAATTGTAACAAATCAGTTGTAACAGTAACAGTAATGTCTGACTCAGACAATAGACCGTACTGTAATTCTTGAAACTGCTACACTGCTAGTAAGAATAAATGATTTGTATTTTCTTTACAATTCTGTTAAACACCCTTGCAAAGGATTAGTTATGAATGAATTTCATGTAGTGACAGGCATCTGAAAGCACAGTTCTTGCATACTAGAGATGGTATCATCTTGGAACACTTTTCTGTGAGTCTTCTGCTACACTCAATGTCTGATACATTTCCTAAATGAAGATGCGAATCACAGAGTCACAGAATTGTAAGAGTTGGAAGGGACCTTTGGAGATCATCTTATCCAACCCCCCTGCAGGTTCCCTACAGTAGGTTACAGAGGAAAGCATCCAGATGGGTTTTGAATATTTGCGCAGAAAGAAAATCCACAGCTTCCCTGGGCAGCTTGTTCCAGTACTCTGTCATTCTCAAAGTAAATAAGGTATTTCTCACTTTCATATGGAATTTCCTATATTTCAGTTGGTGGCTGTTACCCATTTCCTTTCACTGGATATCACCAAAAAGAGGCCGGACCCATCCTCTCAACGCTTGCCCTTTAGATATGAGTGTTGATAACATCCCCTCTCGATCTCCTCCAGGCTGAACAATCTCAGGTCTCTTAGCCTTTCCTCATAAGGGAAAGATTCTAGGCCCCTAATAATCTTCGTAGTTCTCCTGAACTCTCTCCAGTAGTTTCTGTCTTTCTTGAACTGAAGAGCCCAGAACTGGACACATCAATTTCACTTGTTCTGGATGCCTAATATTGACAGTAGAATCAGTGAGGAACATGCACTTCAAAAGGCAAATGAGAAAATCATGTTTTGGAAATGACAGCATTGGCATTTCCAAAGAAACTGTCACTTTAACGACAGTGCATCTCTTACCTTAATGATGATTCGGGGATACTGGAGGAGAAAAAAAAAAAAAGAGAGAGAGAGAAAAAAGAAAAAGTTATCAAAGCATAAAGAAATCAACTGTGGACTTTGAAAAATACCGGTTGAATCCCTCTGAATGCTGAAAACTGGCTTAAGGAAACAATTTGAAATTCATGTCTGTAATTTCAGAGATAATTTTAGGATACAACCTGTTTATGAATCTATCTTTTACATAAAGAAATCCAATCTCTTTCTACATATCAGGGGCATTTGAAGAGAAATGACCACAAAATCTGAGCACTCAGAGATTTCCAGGAGTGCTTTCAGAAACCTTGCCTTCTATAAAGGCAGGAAAGGGATAGAGTACGAAATTACAGCAGTTCTCTAAGAACACTGGGGACAATTCCAGCTCCCTTTTACTCAACATACAAGTGAGGGAGTCTCTATGAAGAGTATTCCAAAGTCATGCTCAAAAAATCTTGACTATTGCTCTTACTTACTGTCTCCTGAACAGGTCTGAACTGGCTATCCAAAGTGACCACACGAAACATCACTGGAAAAGATGTAGGACAAAAGAGAATCATTAACTTTTGTAGTGGTAAGTTCATCCCAGCGTATGACTGAAACAAAATTTGTGCAGGCTTTTAGGAAGAACTAATGAGTCCTCAGAGAACTGGAGTGTTAGAAAGAACTTGATTATTTTAGATAGTGACAAAGAAAAAAAAGAGAAGGGAAGGGAAGGGAAGGGAAGGGAAGGGAAGGGAAGGGAAGGGAAGGGAAGGGAAGGGAAGGGAAGGGAAGGGAAGGGAAGGGAAGGGAAGGGAAGGGAAGGGAAGGGAAGGGAAGGGAAGGGAAGGGAAGGGAAGGGAAGGGAAGGGAAGGGAAGGGAAGGGAAGGGAAGGGAAGGGAAGGGAAGGGAAGGGAAGGGAAGGGAAGGGAAGGGAAGGGAAGGGAAGGGAAGGGAAGGGAAGGGAAGGGAAGGGAAGGGAAGGGAAGGGAAGGGAAGGGAAGGGAAGGGAAGAGAAGAAGAAAAGAAAAGAAAAGAAAAGAAAAGAAAAGAAAAGAAAAGAAAAGAAAAGAAAAGAAAAGAAAAGAAAAGAAAAGAAAAGAAAAGAAAAGAAAAGAAAAGAAAAGAAAAGAAAAGAAAAGAAAAGAAAAGAAAAGAAAAGAAAAGAAAAGAAAAGAAAAGAAAAGAAAAGAAAAGAAAAGAAAAGAAAAGAAAAGAAAAGAAAAGAAAAGAAAAGAAAAGAAGCTTACTATCTGAATTGTCTTTAATACTGACCAACATTTTAAGGACTCAGTACTTCGGAGCATTTCCTCAGAAACTATCTTTACAAATCAATTCAATGAAAAAATGAAAGCCGGGGAAGAAAGTGTCTTTATCTCACTGTAAACCTTGTGAAGCACTGAAACATGATTATACTAAAGATATAACTAACCAAACCACAGATAGTTATTATTTAAATATTGTAGTGAAATCGGCTTTATGAATTAGATCAGCAGTGAAGTGTAGAGAGCTGTTGACAGGAAACTATATGCTGTATCTATTTTTATTAATTCCAAGCTTAACCTATTTTCTGTATTTTTAAGGATATTCTTTACATGACTGACATCAGTAAACCCAACAGAACTCAAGATTCTGTAAACGAAATTAACTTAGAAAAGACAAATGAACTCTACTCATTTCTGGCAGTTTGATGAATTGATTCTATTTTTCATAGACTTTTGATAAAGTCATTGTCAGACAACATACACTATCTAATGACAATTATGCACAATATGCTAAACACTGCTACTGCAGTCTGCAGAATTTTCCTCCACAAGAGAAGTGTTTGTTACTCTTGACCCACTCTTGCACTCAGTTTCCTAGTTCACTAGCTGACTCCAGCTCCCCAGCAACCTTTTTGCCCTGGTTTGTAGATAGGCTTGTCTGTCTGGATGAAGAGAGTGTTATGCACATTCTCAATCGCCACTGATCTTCTCTCAGTTACGTTGACTGTGTTGCCTTTGGCAGAGAAGGATATGAATGCCAGGGGATCAGAAGTAGCAGGAGGAACCTGGAGAGAAACAAAACCCCAGAAAAAAAGTGGTAAATGAGGCATGCTGAGGTACCCTGCTGCTCCAGGTTCTTTAGTTGACTGTCAAATGAATCATTAACAGCTCCTGCAAAGTCATGGGAAAACTCACATTTGCCAGTGACAGAGCATTTGGGAATCTATGCTCTGGGAAATCCTTTAATCTGTCATCAGGCAACAAGATTTTAAACTATGTTCTGTCCTAAGCATTTCATCATCTCCTGTAGCTACCTGCCTACAGGGAAGATTCCCAGCCCTATTCTAGAAGACTTAATCTTGGCTATTTTTTTGTCATACCTGTTCTGATTTTGCAGAGTCACAGAAAAGGCATGCACCTGGGACAGCAATCAAAAGAATTTTTCTATTTCTGAATGAAGATGGAAAGCCATTTTCCAGCACCCTCATATAGACCACATGGCTTTCTTTTTCCTCTCTCTATTGACAGCTTTTTCATTAAGTTATCTTTTTTATGTCATATTCCAGGACTGCTCTTTACATTCTTTCCATCATTGACAAAGACAGTGGCACTCAGAAATATTTCCAGCCTCTACATCCTCTGCAGTGTTCTCAAAAAAAAAAAAAAAGAAAATACCTTGAAGTCGCAGCACGTGAAATAATCATTTTTTGTCACAAAATCCTCGAAGAGAGTTGTCTGTATATTGCTGTATTCCAGAACAACACTCAGAGACAGAGGCTCACGGAGACTCTGAAACTGCACACAAGCAGTCTGTGGAGAGTTGCTCCGCACCACGGTTGGCACCAGCAGCACATATTGACTGCAAGAAGATGAGAACAGATCAGTCACGGAGGAAGGTGAGGGCAGACAAGAGAGGAAAATATCATAGAAATACTATACATGTGAAAGAAGATGTGGGACTTAGGCCAAGACTCGCTCAAACCACTGGGAGGATTTCCATTTATTTCAATTAATTTTGGATAATATTCCAAGTACAAATGATGACACATTTCTGTTCCTTATTGCTCTTTGTAAGCTGAAGGACTGGCATCATTTTATGCAGTCTCTTATCCAGCATGATATTGCATCTTTTCACTACAGGTATCTAGACATTTCCAGTTAAAATTATGTCTAATCACTTAAAAGGCATAAATATACTTATCTTCTGACAACTTGTGTGTATACTTAACCCTCTGGAACCTCCCATAAAAAAGAATGACAATTTTTTTTAAATCATTGGCAAAAATATTAGTTAATTGTTGCAGTAATTTTTTAAGTTCTTTTTCTCTGGATAACTCTCCCTCCAGATAAGAACGAAAATATCATAAGGCAGTCAGCATAATGCAAAATACAGGATATTCCAGGAAATTTTCCATATTCAATCTAACCTGCACGCTCTATTGCTTTTCTGTTTTTCTCTTTGCTTTTTTCTTCCATTAGATATTTTTAGATATGATGCCCTCTATAATTAGTGCAGCCTTTGTTCTCCAAACTCTTCCTCTGAAAAAAACATTTCTAGATATTTGCTATATTTGACTAAGTTTCTGTTGCTGGCTTATTGTTCTCTGATGTCCAAACTAGTCTTTCCAAATAATGTATAACAGAATTGATGAGTTTGGTGTGCATGAATCACACAAAATTTTCTGGGTCATATGATCCCTTCCCTTTTTCCCTTCCTAGCTTTGCTTATTAATATTATACTTACTGTTATTTTCACTTGCCTAAGTTAGACTGTATGATATGCAAACACCAAAAGTAAGTTTAATGAAACCAAGAGTGTATCTGAGAAAGCAGAAGCATCTGACTTTCACAGTGTTTCCTTTCAGCACTTTTGAGAAGGGGACTTAAGCTTTCAAGTTGGTGTATTTTTGAAAACTGCGACTGAAATTTTCAGTTTTCATAAAGCCATCCACCCTGACAGTGCTTTATAAGCATCCACAGCACAGCAGGTGTAACAATAACATTAAGAATAACAGTAACAGATTTACAGTTCAGCATAGCTCCCTGCTACCAGCCAGTATTTGTCTCGAGGACCTCCTCATATGCCATGCTCTCTATGTATTTCCAGTGCATTCCAAACCTGATCATCACTTGCTAACCTAGCCTTGAATCTCCTCCCAGTCTTACCCATGCACTTCAGACTTAACCTACTCCAGTTCCAGGTTTCTGTCACTCAGATTTTGCAGAAGCTTTGTAATGGAGATCATCATTTCAAATCACGCTTCAGTATTAGATATTTTCATTTCAAACGCATTTCAAAATCAGCACATTACAGAGCAATGTCCCAGAATAAATTAACTGAAGTGAAACAAACTTATCTATTATGTCATAAAAGCACAAGGTATATTCTCTTACAGTTCAGAAGACACTGCGACAATCCAGCTCAAGGTGACAACACTCAGAAGAATCCTTGACCACATCTCTGTCCTTGAAGAAGAGAGTTTTATATCAAATGGACAGACTTTCCTCTGGCTTTTAAACTGTCCTGAAATGACGCTCCTCCTCCACAGCTTCCGTCACGTTCTAACAGAAGATAATACATAAAATTTGCATAGGTTCATCTTCCTCTCTCCCACCTATTCTCACATTCTCAAACAGCTTAGGTGAACTCTCATACTTCAGATAGATTTCAGAGCTAGTCAAACCGGTTCCTGTCCATTTGTTTTACTGCTGCTTACCTCTCTGATTATCATGTCATTGTCTCAAGTTTGCTTAATGCTTCAGCATGTTAATTCTTAATATTGCTAAAGTATTTCCTTGTATTGTGAAGATCTTACCTAGAAATATCTCACCGAACAGGAGTAACCGTAACAGTGTGATTGTATGCCTGCACTGGGATCTGGGTAGTAATAATACAGAATTAGACCGTATCTGCATTCAGTATGGTCCAGAAGAAAACTCCTAAACCTAATCTGGTTTTGTTACTGAACACAGTATCATTCAGCAAGGAATGGTGTTTGCTAGTTGTCTACCATTTTTTGGTAGGACAAGTATACCTGTAGGAAAAGGACTCCTACAAATTTATTTTGTTTGTTCGCTCATGTGTTTGTCAGTCACCTTTTCCCTCCAGCTTTGCAGTTTCTATTAAATAACTTTTAAGTCTTTTGGTGAAGTTTAAGTAAGTATGACTGAGAAAGAATAATGAAGTTATGAAATCATTAATTAATTTAAACTGAAAAGAACCTGTTGACATTGTTTGGTTCAAGATTTCATTTAAAGTATGGCTGTCTTCAAAGCAGGTCCAATCAGGTTTTGAATATCTCAAGGATGAAGAGTCCACATAAGCTCTGGACATCTGCTTCCATGCTTCACCATCCATCGTTTGAAAAAATTTTCTTGCCTTAAATCAGAATTTATTTTACTATATCTTATGTCCATTGCTTCTTGTCCTTTCCGTGCGCACCCTGGAGAAGAATCTGTCTTTTCTATAAACCAACTTTACATGGTGGAAGACTGCAACTATACTTCCTCTTAGCCTTTTTTAATTTAGGCTGAGTTAAACCAAACTGTCTCAGATGTTGTCTTTGTTCCAGCCACCAGCTATTCTGTTGACCTTCCTCTGCCTATCTGCCGTTGCTTTTCTTGTACCAGGGAGCAAATCCTGGACATAGGACTTCATCTCTGATTTCACAATTGCTGAGTAAACGAGAAGTGCCAATTTCTATCCTGTGATAACTACCTTCTTGCTAATATAGCCTGAACATAGAAAACTAAATTATCTGTAGTGGTAGTAGACTGCATTTATACTTCGCTTTAAAAAAGAAAGAAAACAATACAAAAAAAGCAAAGTGGCTGATCAACATGTGAGTAACTGCAGCCTATGGGAAGCAAGAGTTTCCCTTCCTCTTCCTCAACCAAGCAGGTGATGAAAAGGAAGGGAAAGCTGAGTATAATGTTAAAGCAATTAGGGACAAAGAAAAGATATAGGGGTGCTGAAAAAAAGACTTAGTCAATGTAGAGTGGGCCTACAATTATCTCAGTAGTAAGGAATATAGAGAAGGAAATGAAAATTGTTATAGTAACGTTGTAAAAATGGCTGTAGGACTGTTGAAGACAGACTATCATGTTTACTTCTCTTAATCTAATACATTTATGCTAATGATTTGGTCATACGTGTTATTTCTGTCAGCATAAGTAATACTTCAAACTACTCCTGTCTAACTTCTTACCTACACAACTTTCCCAGAAGACTTATGATTACCAAGCGAGGACACGAGCAAAAATGCCTAAGTTATTGCTGGAGCTACTGTTTATTGCTACTGCGCTGCTAGTAAAAAATATTGCACAAATCTTCCCAGAATGGCTTGTCATTAATGTGATAAGGCTGCATGGCAAATGTGCACACAAAGCAAACATGCTATGAGGAAAGCAGCTGCATTGGCTGCAATCAGGACAGAATACAGCTAGGAGCAGTTTGCCTAAGTTTGTGTTTACAGCTTTGAAATGCCTCACACTCCCTGTATTATTTCAAATAGGCCATAGCCACTAAGCAGTAGGCACAAAGGACTGAAGGAAAGAGAAGGAAGTGGAAATCAGTTCTGGGACTGTGGTACAAATTGTTCCAGAAGCTCACCTTCAGCGAGCCCTTAGCACATTTTCGTTTAAAACCATTCCCCCATGTCCTATCACTATCAACCCATGTAAACTGTCATTCTCTCTCCTGCTAATGAGCTCCCTTCAAGTACTGAAAGGCCACAATGAGGTCTCCCTGGAGCCTTCTCTTCTCTAAGCTAAACGAGCCCATTTCCCTTAACTTTTCTTCATAGGAGAGGTGCTCCAGCCTTCTGATCATCTCAGTTCTCCTCCTCTGGACTCGTTCCAAGAGCTCTGTGTCTTTCTTGTGCTGAGGGCTCCAGGCCTGGACACAGTACTGCAGATGGAGCCTCACAAGAGCTGAGTAGAGAAGGACAATCACCTCCCTCTCCCTGCTGGCCACCCCTTTTTTCATGCAGCCCAGGATATAGTTGGCCTTCCCAGCTGCAATTGCACACTGCTGGCTCATGTCCAGCTTCTTGTCCACCAGGACTCCAAGTCCTTCTCCACAGGGCTGCTCTCAAGGGGTTCTTCACCCAGCCTATATAAACACCTGGGATTACCCTAGCTCAAGTGCAACAACTTGCACTTTGACCTTGTTGAATCTCATTAGGTTCAAATGGGCCTGTCCTGGTCCCTGTGGATGCCTTCCCCGGATGGGGAAGGGGGTTGGATGGGGGTTAGACTCCATGATCTCTGGAGGTCCCTTCCAACCCCTACAATTCTGTGATTCTGTGTGATTCTTCCCTTCCCCCAACTGTATCAACTGCACCTCTCAGCTTGGTTTGCTAAGGGTGCACTCAATTCCATCATCTATGTCATTAATAATGATGTTGAGGAGCACTGGTCCCAAGACCAACCCTTGGGGAACACCACTTGTGACCGGCCTCCGTCTAGACATAGAACCGTTCGTTGATCACAACCCTGTGGCTGGAAGCAGCCAACCAATTTTTAATCCAGCTAAGTACTTCCTTCTAATCCATACCTCTCCAATTTAGAGGGAAGGATGTGGTGAGGGACCATGTCAAAGGCTTTGCAGAAGTCCAGTAGATGACATCCATCACCCTTCCCCTGTCCACCGATGCTGTCACTCCATCAAAGAAGGCCAACAGATTGGCCAGGCATGATTTTCCCTTGGCAAAACCATACTGGTTGTCTCAGATCACCTCTTTGTCTCATATGTGCCTTAATGTAACTTCTAGGAGGATCTGCTCCATGATCTTCCCAAGCACAGACATCAGGCTCACCAACCTGTAGTTCCCTGGGTTATCTTTTCCCCCTTTCTTAAAAATGGGAGTAATGTTTCCCTTTCTCCGATCACCTAGAACCTAGAAAACTGGGCAATTTGAACAGGATTAATTCCTTTGTGAGAAGTTACTTTCTTGTCTCATTTATGTAAAACAGTTCTGCTGCAGAGAAAAATCATGAGTAAAAGGAATTAAATAATAATACCAAAAATCTCAGCAAAAGCTCCCTGTTCATCCAGGCCAGTCTTCCCTGCCAGCTCATCTTATGATACAGGGGTGCAGCCTGCTCCTGCACCTTGGAGATTTCCTTCTTGAGGAACGTCCAGCCTTTCCGGACCCCTTTGACTATCAGGACTGACTTCCAAGGAATTCTCCCAACCAATGTCCTAAACAGTTCAAAGTCCACCCTCCAGAATTCCAAGGTAGCAGTTTTGCTGACCCCACTCCTGTCTTCACCAAGAATAGAGAACTCTATCATTTCGTAGCCACTATGCTCAAAGCAGCTTCTGAGCACCATGTCTCCTAGTCCTTTTCTATAAACAGCAGGTCTAGCACATTGCTTCCCATGCTACGCTCTCTTACCAGCTGTTTCAAAAAGTCGTTTTCCACACACTACAGAAACCTCCTAGATTTCTTCCTTTCTGCTGTATGCTACCTCCAGCACATGTCAGGCATGTTGAAGTCCTCCGTGAGAACAAGGGCTAGCAAATGAGAGATTTCTGCCAGCTGCTCAAAGAATGCTTCATCTGTGTTTTCATCCTTGTGAGGTGGTCTATAACAGACTTCTGCCAGGATGTCAGCTTTGTTGGCCTTCCCTCTGATTCTACCCATAGGACTTGACCTTATCAATTCCCAGCAATGAGATCTGCAACATGAAAGCATTCCCTAACAAAGAGAATCCCCACCCTCCCTACCCCCACTCCCCCTTCTTTGCCTATCCCTTCTAAAGAGCTTAGAGTCCTTCACTGCAGCGCTCCAGTCACGAGGATGCTCCCACCACTTTTTTGGTGATGTTGACCAAGACATAGTTTTCCTGCAGCACAATGGCTTCTAGCTCCTCCTGTTTGTTGGCCACGCTGCATGCATTGGTGTAGATGCACTTCAGCTGGGCTACTGGTCTTAGCCCCAGGATCTGGGGTGGTTTGGGGAGGAGAGAGCATAGGAAAGTACAGGAGTTTGGAATTAAGAAGTCCTGTCCTATGTACTATGCAAATCTCTGACTGGCCAGTATAATTGTCTGGCCTTTCTCTGTGCCTGACCAGCACAGTCATTCTCCACTTACTATTAAATTCAATTTCTAACTCTTTTCCATCTTCTTCCATTTTAGATGTGTGCAAGGGAGTCTGTGTGACAGCGACTGCAGTGGCACCATGGGTCAGACAACCCTGTGTATGTGTCTGTGTGTGCGTGCAAGAGTGTGTGTGTGCCTCAGGTTGTAATCAGAGCCTGCTACTGGAGGGACAAGGAGGAGTTCTAGTCAGCTGTATGCATGTGTGTGTGTGTGTGTTTGTGTGAAGGTCCGTACCAGCATCAGATGAGGGGCTTAGCCTTGGAGATTCATATATCTACCTACCAAGAAAGTAAGAGACTAGGGGCAACTGCTGGACAGACTGATTGTCTGAGTCAAGCTGTTGGAGGTGCCCCCTGAGTACACAGATGCATATGTGTTTTC